TGTCACAGCTTCTGATCCTTGCTCCTAACAATGCTCACTTAAAATTTCCCACATGTGCTGGGCAGGTCTCCAGCTTAGACTGATGGGCAGTGAAGTGGGAACGTTGTGGCTCCCCCACATTTCCATTGTACTCCAGACCTCCTGTAGGCCTACGAGGGTGGGGCTTTCTCTTCTTCACCCCTCTCCAAAAAAAGGCCTAATAGGAATCATGTAATATTCACTGGCAGAGTGAGGCGACACTTTCCTCCCTTCCTCTATGAAGCTCTTATTATTCAAGAACAATGGTATTTTTACTCTGGCATTCTCAATACCAGTTATAGAAGCAATAACTTTCAGAACAATTAGTGTGCTGATGATTTGGTCAGTGAATGATTTCTACTTAGAAGTCACCAATGGCTATTTCTAGAAATGCCTGATTCTTTAGCTTTTGTTTCCAGTGTTTTTCATATAATGCCATGTTCTGTTTGGCAGTTTTTAAATACTTGTTATACCAAGAGTGGAGGAGGATAATGATTCAACGGTACACATATCTCAGGGGTATGAGTGTGGGATCCAGACCAACAAAAATACAGTGACAAAGAGTTGTAGTACTTATTCAACAAGTAAATACCGAGCGCTTTCTTCTGCCAAGTACTTGCTAGATGCGTGGATGTCAGAGAACAGAACAAACAAGAATCCCTGTCTTCATAAGGTTTGCATTCTCTTAGGTTTCGACGTACAATACTAAATTATGGAACAAGTTCAAAGGTTATAAATGCTGCGGCAAAATGGACGAGATCAAGGTAAGGAGCTAGGAGCATGCGTGGGAGCAGGTCCTGGGGTCATCCACAGCGTCAGGGTGAGCTTTAAACCCAAGGTGACAACTGCTTGTGCTTTCATAGAGGAGGCATCATAGCACTTCAGTGTATTGTAACAACAATCTTTTTCTTAAAATACCCAGTATATTCAACCCTGCCCCAGGAGCCTTAAAATGCTGTTTCTAATTGTCAGAACCGTCCTGTAAACTAGGTTGCTTCATCTCATTTCTTTTTCACAACAGGAAAATGAAATGTACTAGAGATCGCATAGAAAATAAATGGCTGTGCAACAATGTGAATTTTGGTAACTCATTCCAAACTTCCTGATCTTTCCACCCCACCAGTGTCTCCCAACATGTGGTTCCCTAGTGTGGGGGGAGGTGTAGGAATCTGCCAGGACCCCTGGAGGTATTCATTAGAAAATGCAGATTCCTGAGCTGCCTGGCAGTGCTACTCCATTCACTTTTCTGTAGAGTGGCCTAGGAATTAGAATATCTAACAAGTCTCCTTGTGAACCCTGCTGCATGGCGCAAGTTGGAGAACTGCTGTTATAACATGCTGCCTTGGTCTTTTGATAGAGTGGTCATGACGCTTGTTATCAAGTATTTCCAGTTTTAGGATTTCCAAATCAGTGCCTAAAAAGCAAACCTCTTAGCCTGACTCTTGAATTGTGTGTTAATCTCTAAATTTGTATTGTGTGCCAATGCCAGGTTCTTTTCTGCCCTGTCCCATTAAGTCAGATCCCAGCCCCATGAGAGAGGCAGTCTCAGTATCGGGAAATGAAGGACATTGAGGACAAACTTGGGGCTCCTTCCAGACGGCTGGGGGTTTCCAGGTCCCATCCACCAGTTCTTCTGCGGAATCACCGCCCCTAGGGTGCATTCTGCCTTCAAGGACAAGCTTACAAGCTCTCCTAACACATCTTTCTAGTCCCAGTGAAACTGACACCTTTACTTCTGATCTCATAAACTCTTCCAAAGATTATGAAGCTGCACAGTTGCTAACTACTTTTAACCATCAGGTCTTGTATAGCTTTCCTTTCCATTGTTGGAAATTTTAATAAGTCCAAAAGCTTCTTAAAATAACAAATCAAAACAAAATTACATGTATGTATAAAAAACACATAATACATTTCTCTCTACCACACACCACACAGACCAACTTTACCCAACTAACCACCAGCCTTGGTATAACCAACTAGACTCTGAAATGTCAGGAATGCTAAGAAAATCCAAAATGTGAAGAAATCAATTTTTTTTGTACTTTTTAAGAAGGGAAGCAAGTGTTAGAGCCGTGGTGGCTGATCCACAGCACGTGAGCTGCAGCAGGATGTTTGGATCACTGAAAGCTCCAAAAGGTTTGCCATTTATTGTGCTAGAGCACTGAGCTATGCAGATTTCAGAAGTAGAACAGAATGTGGATATGATTCATTCAAGCACAGTCTTTGGATAACGAAACAAATAGAAATCAAACAAGATGTGTTCATGTAGCTAACATGTAGCAGATAGGACTACAGTAAAGTTTTCTGGTCCCAGTGTTTTTTTTTATAGACCGAGTCTTGGGATCTTTGTCCCCCATCCTGCTCTACTGTTCATTTTTTTTCAGTGTATAATTCCCATAACCTAAGAAGACCAAGAATGATTACATTAGTGGTTAACTAACTGTGACCCATCTCCAAACCTTCTCACCCATGTAAATGGTAAGGACTGGTAAAGTAGAGGTCACACTTCACAAAAGTACCATCAGATCATCCATTAATTCAATGTGTAGTTTTGTTCCTATTGTGCCTTGCGAACTGAAATAATGCAGGTAAGTGGATGGAAATGGACACAATCTTACATTTTAGTGAGGAAACAGAACGAACAAGAAATATTAACAAAACTCTCCATTAGTAATGGTGAAAGCTAAGGGGCAAAACCAGGAAATAGGAATAGGGAGTGAGGGTGTGTGTGTGTGTGCGCGTGCGCGTGCGTGCGTGCGCGTGCGTGTGTGTGTGTGTGTGTGTGTGTGTGTGTGCTGGTAGTGGAGGAGCTGCATTTTAGATAAGGTGGTCAAGAAAAGCCTCCTTAACAAGGAAAACACATCACTTGGGAAGCTAAATATGAGCTACAACCCAAGAGAGTTTTGATGTCAATCCTTATAGCGAAGGATAAACAAATAAGCTTTGGATAAAGTTGGGGAAAGGTAAATGCTGATTTTTTCTGCTGTTCTTGGTAATCCGGGTGGTAGGAAATAGGGAGAAGATAGATGGCACAATAAAAATGACAGCAGCTGGACTTTCAAGAAAGTTTTGTTAGTATCTGAGGTGAAAAGAAATGCTTGCTGGTTTGTAATTTCATGTATAGGAGAACCTGGCTTGGAAAACAGAATTTAGAGAATAGAATTAAGATCGATGAGAAGTATTATTTTGTTAAAAAAAAGTCCAGAGAACATGAAGCAATGCCAACACTAGTTGGCAAGATGATATGTGACTTAAAACTTGATGAAAATGTTGAGAAGTTCAGACATTTGATTCATCCAAATATGTAATTAATTAGAAGGATTTGGGATAAAGTGTGAAATTTATATAGAGTCAGTGACTAAAGCTACATTTTTGAGCGCTTACTTATTATGAGCAACACAGGGACGATGCTTCAGGGACACAAAGGATCAAGATATCACTCCACCTCAGTGAACTTTTCTCCATGGTAAATTCATTTGCTCTTCCTCAGGGGCTCCCGGCCAGAACGCATTTCCCAGCCCCTCTTGGAGTTAAGTATGCCTTGTGGATAAATTCTGGACAGTAGGGTTTGGGGACACATAATAGACGCTCCTACTTACTTTGCCCATATAATCATAGGGGATGGCAGAGTCTCAAGACGCAAGGAACTGGGATTAGCTCAGTCACCACCTAAAAGGCTGTCTGCCACATATCTGATTAAACATTATGTCAACAAGATATTTATGTCTGTGGTGGCAAAGTATTGATATACGAGGCAGCTTGAGTTACTCAAGTAATATAATTAGTAATTAACATTTGCTTAGACTATTACAGTTTGTGTAATGCTTTCACACATCAAATGACTCTGGTAACCACTATGGGAATCACGCCTTTGACAGGAGCTTCAACTGATGTCCAGTGAGTATTGAATTACTTGGTTACAATCACATAGTTAATACACAGAGGGTAACCATTCTAAACCACTGGATCTTGAATTTTAAAAAATACATTTGCATAAGACAAGCTTGGTGATAAATCCAATATAAGCTATTTGATAAGCATAGATAAAACTCTTTAGGAGATCCAAGAGTCAATGAACCTTCTTGGTTGAGGGAGCTACAAAAGGATCCAGTGGAACAGGTAGGCTTTATGATGTTTGCAAATTGACATGAGAAATGGAACGAACATGGAGAAAGTTCCCATAAATCTTGACCTGCAATGTGATTGGAGAATAGAAATAGAAGGGAATTGGCATTCGTTCTAATGTTTCAAGGGAAGTTGGAGCAAGCCATGCAGTTTTATGAAGGAAAACAGGAACTGGTAACTCAATACAAATCAAAAAAATATTTATTGAGTGCCTGCCAGATGGAGGGCCTTCCAAAACTGTACAGAGGATACAGAGAGGAGATAACAAGGGCATAGCCCTTGTTTTAAATGGATATATAATCTACCAGGGGAAATGATCGTAAATGACCATAACACAATGTTGAGGAAGATAAACATTCATAAGAACAGTAATGGGGTTCAAGGGACAGAGAAGTGGCATGAAGCGACATGGAAGGACACAGGAAGGAAAGGTAAAATTTCATGCTGGAGGTAGATTGTCAAAATTGACCTTGGACAAAGTGCTGTCATCAAGTCTGGTTATGAATACATGAATTCAAGAGGCCGCAGAGAGAATTCTCAAAAGAAGGCTTTTATCAAAAATGTTCTCAGCCTGGACCACTGTTGGAGCAAATGACTCCAAAATTTGATTACTGTTTAGGGGACAAAAAAAATGAAGTTTTCAATTTATGTATGTTTGTTTGAACATGGAATCAGAAGCTAGCAGTGAAAGCACAGTTATAAAAATGTCTATTCCTATGGAAACAACCTGGTTTCCAATGAATATAGTCAGTTACCAGCACTGCAGATCAGAAGGTGGTGAACTTGAGTTTCATGATACACCACAGACAATCAGTATGCTGTTCACGGAGATGTCCTGCCACTGAAAGGTCACCTACCATGAACAGGGTTTCATAATTTTCAATCATCTTCTGCACTACAGCAATGATGGCTGTGCTCTCTTCAGCCCGGGCCGAGCTCTGGACCGAGAATTCTTTGTCTGATGACTTCTGCTTGTGCAGTAGGTTGGGTCCAAATATGGTGGCCAAGTTTAGAGATGTCATTTTGTTGCCAGTGACCTATTGCAGAAGAGCATACCAAGACTGTTACGTTTGCTTTCCAAAATGCTGGTGGCTCTATTATCAATGAAACTTTTTCCTTTCCATTTGTTCACTGCAAGGACGTTATCTCTGTCAGAACCCACAAGGGGTGCTATCATTTTCCTTTGGCTTCATATCTTGGATCAAAGCTCACAGCTCAGGGGTCATCTCAGTAGTATATTAAGCAAAACTTTGCAACTCCACGGTTCATTGTAAAACTGGCTCTATATAAAATTTCTAACCTGTCTGCACTTAAAAAATATTGATATATATCCATCCATGCATTCATATCTTTGTCCATTTACCCATCAGTTCATAACCTCTCCATTGATCCATCCACTCAGCACCTACTATGGTGAGGCATTTTTCATAGATTATAATTATTTAAAAATTCCTCTGACAATAATCATAACACTGTCGTTAGGTTAAGGGCCTCATGTTCTAGGAAAAAAATAAACATCATTTTTGGGCAGTCAGTATAAAGAATGAAACTGTCAATCCCAGAGACCCTAGGAACAGTATTCCGGAGGTGGCAATATTTGTCTACAATCTGCGAGCAAGTATGGAGTGTGCTAGGTTGAAAAGCAGAGGGGTTGGAGCAGGGGTCTACTTCACAGTGGAGGAAGTACGGTAGGCAATAACAAACATGTGAGATGTGTCAAAGAGTGCCAGGAAGCCGAGTGTAGCAGGGCTGCTGCAGGAAAATCAGACAAAGCCAGAGGAGAGAAAGGAGTTCAGACGGCAACTCGGGCAAGAGGGTTCTGCATGATGAGGATGGAGCAGAATTTCAAATGTGTTAGCCCCTGTGGCGAATGTTCACTGAGATACTCACACTACACTTCTGTGCAGATCACACGCTCTGATGCTTCCAGGGGCCTAGCTCAGAGCCATTTCAATGGTGTGGCAGGAAGTGAACACAGTGAGTGGAGACACTTTCTTCAGAAGGTCTCACAGATAAGGAGAAAGAAAAAGATGGCACGGGGGGGGGAGAAAAGAGGAGTGTAGGGTGAAGAATTGGAAATATTTTATTTTTCTTTTTTGAAGAACTAGGGATTGAAACTAGAGCCTTTGCATTGAGCTATATCCTCAGCCCTTTAATTTTTTTTCTTTTATTTTGAGACAAGGTCTTGTTAAGTTGCTTAGTTGCCCAGCCTAGGCTTGAATTTATGATCCTCTTGCCTCAGCCTCCCAGAGTGCTGCGATTGCAGGCATGCACCAGCCTGCCTAGAAAAGCGAACTGTTCTTTAGTTTGAAGTATAAAGAAATTATTCATGTTCAATATATTAATGAGGAGAAAGCACAAGTAGGCATACAGAAGCAAAATGCTCATATTTCCATTTCCAAGAGCCAGCTGCTCATATGCTTTCCTATGTGCATAGGTACATATACACAGTTATGACTTCTATCTAAAATGTCTGCCCAAAATCCCATGTATTTAGAAGGTGATTGGATCATGGAGTGTTACGAATGCGACATCTGACTTGCTGTTAGGAGGTGGGGGTCTACTTGGAGATGGATCTCTGGAGGTGTGACCTAAAAGGGTGTATTCTTGTCCCTGGGTCCTCCTTTCTCTCTCTCTCCTTTCTGGTTGCCATGGATTGGTTTACCTCCACCCTTCCCTTCCTCCATCCTGTTTCTGGCAGAAAGTTTGTCTTCATTTTGCCTGTGTGCTGGGACTTTGCGGGAGACTGAGTTTAAAGGTGGTAGACTAATTAATATTACAGAAGAAATTACAAAGCAGCCCAATATTCATTCTGTAGCATGGGTATTGCTGGAAGATTTTAACCAGATCTACAGTGAAATTCAGGAACAAAAGCAGATGTGCAGAATTTGCAGTTTCATTAGGAAGTGCTTGCAAGTTGAGGCCACAGACAGCATGAATGCTGAAAAGACTAGCATTAAAAATTAGTCAAGCACCGTGTATCAGTATGCACATATATATCAATGTTATTATTTCTTTTTTAAAACTAGCACCACACTCCATACGTTATTTTGCAACTTGCTTATTGTCTCTTAACAATACGGTGCATTCATCTTTCAATTTCAAAAAATTCTTTCTCTTCACCCTGTATTGGCCCCATGCACCCTGCTGGAGGAACAGGTCATGATTTCTTTTAGCCACAGTCAAGGGATGGGCATTTACATGGTTTTCAATGTTTTGTTATTATAAAACATGATATAAAAGTATCCTCAAGACAGAGATTTTGTGAATTTGGCTGAGCACTGTCTTAGGAATAAATTCTACAAATCAAATTGTTATAATAAGGAATGCAAGAATTTTTAAAGGCTTCAGTATTGTTTTGTTTTGTTTCTGTTTGTCTGTTTGTTTTTACTTACTTGCATCCTTTTCACATGGAAGGGAGAACCTGACTAAGTTTCTATAAGCCAGAGTTTCTGTTGAGTGACCTTGGCCCACTAAATGCTTGCAGCACCCTACATCCCCTCCCCTGTTGGAGAGCTATTGGTATGTGTACATTTTTACTTCTCTCATCAGCATTAGCTGAGAATCCAGGAATGTCAGGATGAAGAGGTTTTCCCAGCAAGATCTACGCAGCTTTTGAGAAACACATAGGCATCCAACGTAGAATTCACAAGTCCTAATGAGCAGTGAAGCTCCTGAGTCTCACATCCTGTGGAGCCCAAGGCTGGTGGCTAACCAGCCCTGCAACTCTGGTAGGCCACATAATTTGCTTTAGTTTTAAAAGGTGAGCCTGTTTTCAGGTAAACGTTACCGCACCAACAGAAACCATTTCATGTGATAAATGCTAGAATTGGAAGGGAAGTACCTTTCATGCAGGACTTTCAATTATTTTTCTTTGTTTTATTTCACCAATATAAAGCCTGACATGTTTTCGTTTTATTTTTCATTTCCCTTCCTGGCAATTCATGGTTAAGGTTAAAATAAAATATGTGTCGTTTTCAGATTCCTCCCATTAGAACTCAGAGGTGTCTGGAAGGCTTCCCCTCTCCCTTTTAAAGTAATATTAGGGTTTTCTCTTTTTCTTTAACATTAACAAATAGAAGAATTTGTTTTCTTTTAAAAGAATGTTTAGTACAAGGACGATCTGGAGCTCTGTTTCCGCTCTCTCCTTCTCTGGTTGCTATTCTGGGAATGCAATACAATCCGGCTGTGAAATTGCACATAGATTCCAGCTGCAGGCCAAACTGCTGTGGTTTGTTACCACGTTTTGTTTTGTTTTGTTTTGTTGTTTTATTGTTTTTTAAACTGGAGAGGAGTCTTACTCCCTAACATCTTCCACCCACGCTCTCCGTGTTTCCGCATATACTTGTACCTATACGGTAGAGTTAGGTAATATATGCACTTGAGGCCGGGCCATTATCGCATGATTTAATTAGCTGGCCAGTTCAAGGCAGACTTTTATCTTCACTATGTAAGTACCCTAGATCATTTTCAAGCCTCATAAAAATAGCTTATATTTATTAAAAATCTAGTGTGTACAAATACCGAGCTAGGGGTTTCCCACAGATTATTTTAACTCTTTTTTCACCACAAATTTATGAACCAGCTGCTGTTGTTGTCTTATTTAATAAACAGAATGGAGGAACAGTGATGTCCAGAGCCCCAAGGTGGTCCAGCAAGAAGGGAAGCCGACAGCTGCACCCCAGGCAGCCCTACAATCTTTGTCAGCTCCTCCCGTTCACTCTTGTGTGGCCCATCCTGCCATGCCAATGGGGAGCTGGGAAACTGAGCCAATCTACCACTTCCTGGAGGCAGGAACCTCCTCCAGATCAGCAACTGTGACCTTATATTGGTTCATTTTGCCCCGTGGATAGTCCCCTTGAGAACTCAGCACCAGCTATGAACTCTCACCAAACAAGTACACACTTACACCGTAGTTTCCAGGCAATGCCAGGGCTTCTTGAACTCTCTGGAAAACTACTGTTTGGGATGTCTCTTACATTTGGGAATTTCTCTTTTCCTTAGGTGGCAATATGAATAATAAACTCAACAAAATTAATAGTGCAAAACAAATAATTTGGCAAAACACCACAATCCAAAAAATACCACTATTTTTCCCACAAGAAGCACTGATTAGTCAACAATTTCTCTCATAACTTCTACTAGGCATTTTTAAGATCCCACTAGATAATGATGTATTGAATTTTAAGGGCCTATTACAGAGGAAATAGTACTTTCATTTCATAGATGAGGAAGCTGAGGCCTTCTCTGGCCCCAACTCTGTTTTCCTTCCTCTTCCTCTCTTTCACAAAGACAAGGTCAGGCAGCAAGGTTCTGGCAGAGCCTGTGTGATTATTCAAGCCTCTCCACAGTCTGGTTCAGTTCTGTTTCATGCTTCAGACCATAAAACAACAAGCCAGCAAATAGATAATACAAACTAACAAATATATAACAGAAGTTGAGAAATGCTTTGTTTCCCAACCGTATTTTACATTTTGTGTTGACCCTCGCTATAGTCTATTCATTTTGTGTTCTCTACTGGCACATGCCAAACCAACTAAAAAATATACTAAACAAAGAACCTACCTTTTGCTCCTCTCCCTCCACTCTTCACTTCTACCAGAGGGGTATCGCTAACTCCTATTCCTGTGGCATGCTTATGTGGCCCATTTACTCAATCCCTATACAAACTTTGATGTATCCTTTCTGTCAGTTCTCCTCTACAGAGCCATTGCAAACCCATCTAGTCCATGTCTGCCCCTTCTCTAAATTTCTGCAGTGGCTCTATAATGCACTCCTTGATTTTATGTCTGACCCTAAGTGGGCATTTACTATGGATGATGGGTAAGCTACCTAACTTCTTTGGCTCTCAGGTTCCACCCCTGAAACATGAGGGCAATGATATTTCTTTTTTTTTCTGTTAGGAGAATTAGCTACTGTCTTTCTATCTACCTGCCTATCTATCTATCTATCTATCTATCTATCTACCAATCTATCTATCCATCCATCCATCCGACACAAAGCCATCAATAGGTAGACAAGGCATACATGTTAGCTAGTATTCCAGTATGCAAAGTTCCATTTATACCTATTCAAGAATACTGTCTTCTTTTTTGCATAGCCTTTGGATTGAAAGAATGTCTGAGGATGATTGAAAACAAGCAATAATGAGCTCAGTTGGACTTTTTTCTTTACTTACATTGAAGAAATCTTAATCTTCTTAATTACCTGAGACTCAACTTTGTCCTTTTCACATAGTACTTAAGAAATGTCAGAGAGACAATTGGTATATCTTCCAAGATAGGACTCTGTCTTTACTCAGCCATCAGACATATGACTCCACAGCTTCTGCTATATTTGCAGTCAATAAAGTCTGATACCCAGACGGGTAATGTAACTATATAACAATTATGAGAATTACAGTCTACCATCGAAGGGCTGCATATGTTGAAATAAGGTGTCAGGACAATATTACAAAACCTGAAGCCAGCAGGGTTTCACTAATTATAACTCCTATGAAGACAAATGACTAACTCAGGAAACTTCTATCATCACACTCACAGGGAGGAGGAGGAGATGATATGCAGGATTGCTTTTCTTGATTAGAGAAAAAAAATACATATATATGGACATGTCCTTTGGGAACTAGACTTGACAAGCACAGAACTGAATACATGATACAGCTGAGCTGTTCTTACCAGGGGTTTAAGTTCCAGTGGTTGAGTAAATTGTGAATGCCTCTTTCCCTTACTGATTCCAGGCATGTTAGCATATTAAAGAGTTTGAGACTTCCTGGGAAACCCAATGTCAGGGAGAAGTGTGACTGCATGTGATCAAAGGGGGAGAGGTCTCTTGTGAAGGGGAAGACTAAATAGGGTGTCTTCTGGTAGACCTCTTAAAAGGGAGGCCCGCATTTCATTTGTCTGAAGACGAAATGCAAGAAAAAAAAAAGGAAGAAAGAAAGAAAGGAAGGAAAAAAAAAAACACTTTGAAGCATGAGTGTTGAACAAAGAAAACCAGAGCCTAAGACCTCATAATGCTGGGGGATATCACACAGGGGCCAGAGTTGGGACCAGGTTGAACTAGAATATGTCTAAAGAGTCCATGGGACTGTGTTAAAGCTGCCTGTAGCCGTTAACACTATGTGCTATCAAAATGCCATATGAAAAGTTATCAAAAGTTTGGGGGATGCAACTAAGGGGTAGAACACTCGTCTAGCACATGTGAAGCTGTGGGTTCCATCTTGAGTACCACCAAGAGAAAAAAAAGATGCCATAGCAAAGATCAGAACTACCATTGTATTCAGCAAGTCCTCAGTTTGGGGGTAATGTTTACAGAGAGAAAGAACACTTCTAATAAGAGATACTGGATTGCTTGTTATAGTGTAGATGAGAGCTCTAGGGGCAAACTGGAAAGAATAGAGGGACTATCATATTTGGACTCCAAGTTATACAGATCAAAGCAGCATCAAGGACGGTAACCTCTTCTCAGCTCCACTACTGTGCTTTTATATAAGTAAAAGTGCCTCTATAGTTCACTCTCTGTATTCTCATAAATAGAATTCAAGGTCTTCAATAAAGCATTATCTTGGAAAATGACGACCTCACTTGAGAGCATCCTTGAAACATGCATGAAGGATAATGACCAATGTGCTATTAGGAACTGTCCCTCTAGGGCAGGCTCTTCCCAAATAGATAGATCAGACATGGGAAGGTATCATATTCTCCAGCTGAAATGTTTGGTCATATTGCCACCTCACCCCTTTGAAAACTGAAAAGGGAAGAGTCACAGAGTATACAGAGGCAAATGGGTCATACCTCTTGTCCATCTTTACTGACATTGTCATCGGCATGCTGGGCCACGATGGAGAGGAACTGAAGGAGACGGTGGAGGGTGTCGCAGTTGCAGGGAGGTAGAAGATAGATGAGGAGCTGCAGGGTGCCCAGCTGTTCCTCCGGCTCCAACACTGTGCAAGGCAGAAAGATGTGTTCTAAGTAAGAGTAGGGGAAGCTTGGGCCATTCAGGCAGAAAGGAGGAAAGGCCTCCTCTCAGTTGTCTTAATAGAGAGGTTACCAAGGCAAGCACAATCCCGTGCCTTCCTCCATTCTCTCATGGCTTTAACAACTTAGATTCAAGACCCTCTGACAGCTATAAAAAGCAATTAGACCTGGAGAAGTGCACCATCTAGAGAATTATGAGAAAGGTAACTCTGCTCTTCTTACTTTCTTCTCTGTTCTTTCTCTAGCATTTCTCATGCAGACTTAATGGATTTCAGTGAGCTGCTGGTAAAGATATTGCTGAGAATTGGTAGATGCTCTGAAATTTGAGTTTATAATGGATTTGAGACCCTTTTCTGTTGTGCAATAGACAAGGGGAAGTTTTTCATTGGCAATTCAGAAGGCATGTCACAAAGACACTGTCCTCTGTCTCTGTTGAGGTCTCGTTGAAGTCACAGCACTGGAGGAAGAAGAATATGCAGGCGGACACAGCTCTGGCTTATCCTTCTTACCCACCCTCCTTTCCTCTTCCATTGGGTCTCTATCTATAACTCAGAAGTCGCTACGCTAAAAGTCCACTTGGCTATGCCGTCTTGCTTGTTCTGAAATGCTGCCTGCTTCCCTTTCTCATTCTGAGTTATTCTGAATTCTGGACTTCCTCATATCAGAAACACCAATTCATATTTAGGCACAGACTCAACAAGAAATCTCACTGGTACTCCAAGTCATCAATTTATAGTACTTTCTATTGTCCAGGAGGTCATTTGAAAGCATCCCAAATTCTTCTTGGCCATTTCCATTTGTTTTATTGCGACTTTCTTCTTGCTACTTCTCCCCAGGGTAAATCTCAGAAAATTCCCCAAATAGTCCATTCATTAGAGACTGATAAATAAGGACAAAAACAGCTGTCAGAAAGCATATGTATAAAGTTTTGATGAGTGAGCTGGACATCCTGGTATTTCAAGGACATTTCCCGTAAATATTGCTATATTACGTACAGAGAGTGTTGATGAAAGCTGTGTACAGCTCCCTGGTGAGAAGGGGGTCCGGCATGTCCCTCAGGAATTCCTTCAACAAGGCTGCCACATCATGAACACTATGCTCCTCTTCCAGAGAGACATCAACCCCTCGGTCAAATTCCTCACGCAACTGCAACAATAATGTGTCAAGCGGCAGTCACTTAACAACACCATACCTCAATGTTAAGTGTTCACCAAGATAAATATTTTGATGCATGGCACCTAGTATTAAGTTTCAACAAACAACATGTTGTCTTGATCTGCAGAGTCTACACAATTTGGCTGTGACACACACATATATATATATATATATAAAATATTATATATAATATAATAGAAATAATATATATGAACATTATATATTATTATAGAAAAATTCAAATATTATATAAAATTAAATATTATGCATTATTATATATACAGATACAGATATATAGATATCTATATCCAGATATATAATAAAACTATTGGTGGATTTGCTATTAATGATGTAAGCTGAAGGGCATAGAAAGGTCAGTGGGAAGGTTGGAAAAAAAGAGGAGCAGAACAGAGTTCTGGTGAATGTGGAAGGGAGGAATTAGTGTATCACACAACAGTTTTGTATGCCACCAATCCTACCATGTTGGGCCTTTGATAGTCTGCTAAGGTAACAAGACAGCGAAGATATTCTGCAAATAATTAAACTAAAAATCCTGATGAGGTATTCATGACTAAGGCTTACAAGATGACAGTATCTAAATAAAATCTGTGTTAGAGCTATCAAAGGGGCCTTATGAACAATTTCCAGAAGAATTCGCTGCCTTAATCATAACTAAGCCCATTACCATTTACAGCCACCGGAAAACACAATAACAAGAAGAGAATAATAACTCCACCTCCTGTTTTCGCCTCTGATGGCTCAACTAGTCTTACTCATTGCTCTCTGTTGTAGAAATAGCAATGAATGTCTGTGAATCTACACTGCGCTATAAACTTCTATAATAGTTTATTTGTTCAATCATTTATCTGTCCACTTATTCAACAAAGATTTGCTGCATTTTCTGTATTCCAAGCTCTATTATAGGCCCTTAAAGTACAGTGGTAAAGGCAAAGAGGAGGGTCAATGTCCTTACCCTCCTCCATCTCTCAGACTAGTAGAGAGATGATATGATAATCAGGTAATCCTACAAATGATTAGCTCTTAAAGTTTTGATTGGTGTTCCTGAAGAAAAAGTATAGGGTGCTATGATGTGACACAATCAAATAAAATGGTGAGTGCATTAGAATGTATGTCATACTCAGAATCTAACTCTTAGTAAGCACTAATTATATTTTTAGTGGGTAAACCTTAGATAATGTCCACGCAAAGATTTTCCCTTTGGTGGATCCAGACGTAAGTGATGAATATTTTCTGGCACTTGCCATCCGCCCACCTGATTAGAATCCCTATCACTGCCCTGAAATGCTCTGTGATTCCAGACAACTCACCATGAACAAGTATCAGGCAGCCGGAATGAAGGGGCCTTCCACCAGTGCCACGTGAACTGTGGCGACTCAGACACACCATGTTTCTTTTCTGAGCACACACACATGCACAAAGAATGGACTGCGGAAACAGCTTTGCTTATGAAGTCAGAGTGGCCGGCTAAATTGTGTGATCTGGAGTCAAGTTCCCAAATTTCTCTAAGCCTTGAAAGCAGGGAGGGTGAAGGCAGCTAGGTGCATAGCTGGTGGGCAGATTCAATGACATGATATTTGAGAAAATATTCTGTAATATTGCACAGGTAGGGGCCTAGGAAATGTTGCTGCACTTCCGTCTTAAAAGTCCTGTTTTAAAATGTTAAATATTTAATAGTCTTGTGTGGGCATTTAGATTAAAACCCAAATACAAAACATTCTTCTTTCAAAAGTTCCCTTTAGCTTAACAAAAGAGATACATGAGGGAGCATTTATTTAAATTACTTTCAATTAATATGAACAAATATAATTTCTTCAACTTCATCTCATTAAAATTTATTTTCACTTGGTTTTATTTTCGAATTGTTGAGAGCAACAGAGTGAAAATTTTAATTTAATTGTAATTTTCATTGACCTACAAATGACTTCTTTTAGAGAATGGTTTGCCCTTTAAGAAGCCTTCGTGAACACAGACACTTGTCTGATCAGACGAACCTGTTCTTGATGGTCTAATATCAAATTTTTGTTGTAACAAAATCAAAGAGTATACTCTTCTCATGAAAATTGAACTGGGGATAAATGGCTCCATGGAAACTTAAAAATTGTTTATTTTTGAGAAGTAAATGCATATGGCAAGGCTGTGGGGGAAAAGGAGTCCTTCTCCCCTGTTGGAGGGAGTGCAAATTGGTACAAACAATATGAAAATCAGTATGGAGAGACCTCAAAAAATGAAACCAGAGGTACCATTTGAGCCAGATATTCCCCTTCTTGGTATCTTCCCAAAAGAGTTAAAAGCATCACATTACAGTGATACATGCACACCCATGTTTATAGTAGCACAATTTGTAAGAGCTAAGTCTTGGAAACAGCTCAGATGCTCACCAACAAATGAATGGGTAAAGAAAATGTAGTTTTTATGCAGTTGTGTACTACTCTGCCATAAAAAGGATGAACTGGAGAAATTTTTAGGTAGATGGATGCATCTGGGGCCATACTTTTAAGTGAAATGAATTGGACATACATTTAAATACCACATTGCTTCTCTTGTGTGAGAAACCCAAAGGGTAAACAAGGAACAAAATGGAGGATAGATATTGGGAAGCACGAAGAAAGTGTTCAAATGGGGAGGGGGAACAAGGCAGGGAAGAGAAGGAAGAGAAAAGAAAAAAAAATAGGAAAAAAGTGGAAACAAAGCTTTTGTAAATGGGGAGGGGAAGAATGGTTGAAGAAAGGAGAGGGGGATGGGGAAAAAAGAAGAATCAGGATATATCATGTATAGGTACAAATTCTCTATGGTGTATGTGATTATTATGTATATCAGAGGTATATTAATAAAATTAATTTTTAAAAAGAAAGTATAGGGATAAACAGTGCCTTATGTGATAAGAATGTTAATGGTATCTTTGTATCAAACTTTAGTGAAAGTGGGTGCTGCGCAATGATTTTCTATTTACTGTAACTGACTGATTAGGCCTTCTCTGAATTTCCTCTTTTAACAGACTCAGTAAATTGTTTATGAAGGAGATTTTTTTGAAAATGGCACAGACACTTCCAGACATTTTCTCTCAACCGTTTGATCCTAACTCTATAACAACTTTTCAGAACTTCTGAGATGTGCTGCTTCACATCCTGGCTCTCAACTATACTATAATCAGTTGGAGGATAAAGACAGTTAGAAGGGAATTTGCATAAACTTGAAGTTTGCACATAGTACTTCCATTAAGCATCGAGTGAAATGGACACTATAATCTTCATTTTTCACTTACTTGTCTCACTCTCTTTTTTGAGCTTCCAACTCGGAATATCCCCACTGTCTGGAGGCCTGAAAGTAAGCAAACAAAATCAACAGTCTTGTTTCATGGCTTGAGACTGTAGAAGAAATCAAAATAGAAATAGAGCAGAATGCTAGCACAGAACCAACATGCAGAGCAATAGTAACTAAGAGCATAAGGTGATTTTTCTACATTCTGTACTATTTATGATCTCTGTGTACCTAAATGTTAGTTCTTGGAGCACCAAAATTATTTTGTTAACCATTTCTATGAAATAATTCCCCTATCATGCCATTTCTTTCCACAATTTCTCTATACAGAATACAGTATTTTAACATTTTTCTTTATTCAAAGTAATTACAAAAACATGAATCTCATAGGGAGTTTAGCTCTTTATTAATTTTAAAATAGATATTTCTTATTTGTCTAATCATAATAAAAATCTACCTCTAAAGTAAAGAAAAATGTAAAAAAGTACTTTAAGACATACGTTTAAAATTTTGGTTTATCTCTATTCAGCCTTTTCTCCATGGGAAAAAATATATTGAACTGAGATTGTACTATGTATATACACACAGCATATGTTTATCTATCTGTTTATCAACAGGGAGAATGCTACTGCCTTATTTAGATATTGGGTCATAAGAATTTTCATGTGTGTAACAATTTCCCGCAATTGTCATTGAAAATGGATGCAAAATACTCTGTTATATGAATGAGCACAATTTATTCCACTTTCCCCTCTGAATGGTATATAAATCTCCCCAAAACACAGGCTTATTTTGGTGCTGTAAATGGTTTTTCTCTAAATAATTCTATGTAAATGCCTTTGATCACATTTTTCATTCTCATCGGATAATATTCTAGATGTGGAATTATAATGTTACTGAATATAAAAAAGAATTATCTGGCGGAAAACATTAATAGTGATCTAACAAATTAGATCTCTTTAAAAACAAGCAGCATCACTATCACACATTAAAAATTTTCTAGTTCTATAATAGCATTAAATTTCTAGTCAGTGTCCACATAATGTTCACAAAATGTGATATGATCAATGTGCATTTTGGTCTCAGTTTATATCTCTCCCCTGCTTCTATTTTTCATCCTACACAGTAATTTGTTAGATGAAGAAATCACATGTAGTAGGAGTAAAAGTTCAAGTCCAGACTGGGCACTTAGTGAGACCCTGTCTCAAAACAAGAACTTTAAAAACGTCTGGGGTTGTAGGTCAGGGTGAAGTCCTTGGGTTTAGTCCTCAGTACAGAAAATAAAGGACTGACTTCTCACTTTCCATCTTCCCACTATCTGGATTTTTGACATTCCATGGTGTCGTTTATATCTTCCTTTCTCCTCTTATTTTCTATAAAAGCTGAAAGTTAAAGGCAGAGTTTTCTCTGGTTTGGGTGGGTAAGAATGCAAGAGGTATTGTGTACTTGCTTCAGGGGCTTAGAATGTCCAAATGGCTCTGCTTTTTCCCTGGGAACCATTAACCATCAAAACTAATGTGCTTCATCGACATTTATTTCATTGGCGGCAGCTCATTTTCCCTTAATTTGAGATAATCAGTTATGAAAATAATGCCAGATTTGAGCTGCTAAGAGCCATTTGAAGCCACATGAAGACTGGTCTGAGAGTGAAGCCAGCAAAAAGAGAATGCTCATGACATCGTCTAATTCTTGGATTCAGCTGGGCCTGAATAGATCAGACTTCCATTATATGAACAAAGATTGTTGGCTTTTCTGGGGAGAGGGTATTTTGTTTACTCTTGTTTTATCTGGGTTCCTTTTATCTGCCACCCCCCAAAATCTGAATAATACAATGGCTAATTGATTTGGACAGAATTTAAATTTATAGCATCAATTTTTCTTCCTCAAAACAGATTAAGGGGGCTGGGGATTTAGCTCATCGGCACAGCACCTGCCTGGCAAGCGCAACGTCGTGAGTTCGATTCCCGGTACCAGAAAAAAAAAACAAAAAAAAAACAGAGTAAGCATCAGTTTGTTTAAATAGTACCTTGCCTATCATTACAGATATTCTGAACGAATATTTCTGATATTCATACAAATGGTTTTATTATCTTAACTAATTGATTATTGCTTTTATATTGTTAATTGATTTTTGTGTGTTTGTTTTATAGTCTTGCCATAGTAACAATTCTTGCTGGTTTTCCACGGGGTTTAATTAGAAAAGATGATATGAGTAAATATCCCATTTATCAGTACTGCATCTTAAACGTGTTATCCTGAATCTCCAGAATAATTTAAGAGAATTGCAGTGAGAAGCCGGTTATTAGAGATTTGCAGTGGAGCACATATTTGCGTTTTGTCATGGTGGGATTTTGTTTTGAAAGGACGTGTGTCTCCTTCTTGTTACGGACATCGATTTGTCTACCTCACAACTGAAGCCAATCCTCAAACTAATTTACTGCTTCTATCTCTCTGGGACCTCAAGAACAAGAAAATCACACGGTCTAGAATAAAATACATAATTATATTTCTTTATTTTCTTATATTTCTTTATTTATTTCTTTTGTGCAGTGATTCAATTAACTAATGCATATAGCATACTTAGAATAGTATCTGACATATCCTGTTATGCAGCAAGAAATAACCCCTAAATGAACTGAGTGAGTCTCCTATGGCAATGTAGAAAGTTCTGAGCAATTTCACATTTAGCTTTCTTATTCTAAAATGATTTCTGAGTTACTTAGAATTTCTACAGAAGTGAAATATCAAATGGGGGATTTCTACACAAGTGAGACTATTCATTTGGCTAAATTTCTCTAGGCTGTTCAGAAACTCCCAGTTTATGATAAAATTTCATCAATTATAGTACTTTTCCAACTCAGTAACACTGATTTAAAAATAACTGTTAATAACTAGATATTGATTGCTATAATTCCTTTGTGCTACAACTATCTATACATGACTCTGTTTTAAAGTCTTCAAATTTAATTTCTTTTAAGGGAGAACAAATGAGAAGCTTTAGGCAGCTAATGCCTTTTTCTGACATAGCTAGCTCTACAGTGATTTTCCTTAAAGACAAGACACAGGCTGGGCATTCACTAATCACACCTTAAGACAGTCACTTAAAAAGAGGTGGACACTGAAAAGGTAACAACCTGAAAAAAGAAACGGGACTTGCTGTGTCTTGTCCCAGAAATTGATGTGATCACCTTTCTTCCTTTTTATCAGAAACTAAAATGGAAACCGGACCCAAAAGCACCTCAGTGTCAGGCTGAAGAACTTCAAGAAACCAGGGCAGGCACAATGAGCAATGGGCCCCACCCCAAAATCAGCCTAAATCCCAGAGGCATAATATAATTTGACTCTCTCTTATACAAGTATTTTTTTTTCTGTTTCTTGGAAATGGAAATGGTTTTTGCAAATGGAAATTTCGGGCAATTGAGGAGGCTGAAGGAGTTTTGATATAATAGCATAGAAAGCAGTTGAATGAAATACAAGTGAGGAAGTATTGGGTACAGAATGTAGATAAGGCCAATGTAACTGTCCAAGACCAATTTTAGAGAGGATGAAAAAAAAGTTGACAAATATTTATAAGACTAAAGTGATTTTTGTCTTCTGCTTCCCATTGCAAAAACAAGCAAATAAAGAAATGCTTTTGAAGTTTGCTCTTTTTCCATCGGTTTAAAGCAACAAATGTTAGAATATTTGCTTGAATTTGAATGTGTCTCTAATTTTTCTGGAGCCATCTGATCAAACTCCATGAAAACCTGGAAAAGAATCCAGCCTTGGAAGAAAATTTTGGTCCAAATCCATATATATAATGGGGGAGGGCGAGAGAAAAAGGGAGAGAGAGTTCAAGATATATAAGTAAAATATAGATATGTGGAAAATAGCCCAAAGAAAATAAAGGAATGTATAGTTAAAATTTTGTGTAAACAAATGAGTGTAAAATACGTTAATTTTATTAAGTCATTCTACTATCTAGTGATTGTCTTTTTTTTTTTTTTTTTTTTTCTGGTACGGGGAATCGAACTCACGACCTTGCTCTTGCCAGGCAGGTGCTATGCCGCTGAGCTAAATCCCCAGCCCCAATATCTAGTGATTTTCATATATAACAAGTAGAGTAAGAAATTTAGATAAATCTAATATTTTTATATAAAGTTTCATTTTTATTACAAAGAGATAGATGGGCATGTTAATAGTAATTGTATTTGCAGAGTAGCTGCAGAATTTTCTTTCTTTCTTAGTTTTTCAGTTTTTTAAATTACAATAACTGTATTATTTTTAGAGTAAAGAAGCACTTGAGAAACTTTTTCCATGTCCATACAATGCATGCTAACAGTATAACAAACAAATTTAGAGCATGGACACGGCAGTTTGATGAGGCAAAAATCTAAATTTGAAAAAATGTGAAGAACTGTCTATCCCTTGAAAGTTAAATATTAAGTAGAACTGAGCTGCAAAGGGACGACTGTGGAGAAAATCTGGGTGGACATCTTCCACAGAACTACAAATAGTCATATGTAAATTTGTTGTAAAAATTATATATTTTCTATTCACTGAAACAATGATTTTCAAATTCTTTTTAAAAGAAGCTAGACTCTTATTTTTAAAGGAAACACTACAAGTAACCTCAATGTATAAAAAGATATAAGTGATTCTGGCCTATTTGAAGGAGGCCCTGGGCACAGATTCAATGCAATAGAAGTGACCCTTTTCTAAACTGCTTAGCCAGGGCCACATCTGAGGACCCTTGGGGGCTGAGCAGTCCAAACACCATCATATTGATTCCCTGCCCTCCAACAATCTCGTTGAGCTCGGTAATCTCTTAAGCAAACATTCACATCTGTAGTTTCTTCACAAAGGAAATTTTAGTCCAAAGCCCAATCAAAGGAACAGAGAAGCGAATTCGGGTGCTTAAAGGAATGATTCTTGACTTCATGATGGTTGAGACACAATCTACATACCATGTTTTTCCAGATGCTGACAGCAGCTGTCCACCAGCCTGGGGACCTGTCTGTAAATAGGATTCAGACTGAGTTTCTTATCTCTGGCTTTTTCTTTTTTGTTTTGCGCCTCAGCAGGCAAGGAGAGTTGTAAAGCTTCTAGCAGTCGAGACTGGTTGTCATCCAGATCGGTGATGGAATCCACTGACATGGCACCCTGCAAAATGACGCACAGATTTGAACATGAGGACGGACAAAGAAAAACAGCTGCCTCCAGATCCTACCCTATAAATGCTTTTGCCCATGACTATTTATCACTCTTGAAATAGTACTGCTTGATTTAATTAATTGTTTTGTTTATATCCTACAAAGGAAAAAATGCTTTTTGGAAAAGTCTGGAGGAGATCTCTACAACATAGGGCAAGGTATTGGCAGTTACAATTTCAACAATAAACAAAATTTTCCAAGTGGAAGACAAGAGATGGCAAACATATAATTAAAATATTTTGACCCAACCACTTCATTTCTTGAAAAAAGAAAAAAAATCACATACTCAATGAATGAGGTAAAGTCAGAAGTCTTGCTAGAAATAAACAAGTCTCAACTATGGCTCTAAGTAGATTTTAAGGATAGGAAGATTCCACAAAACAACCTTAGCTTAGTTTTCTGCAGAAAGCCCCCATGGGGGCATGGAGAAATGAGAGAGGGAAAGGAGGACAGCCAAGGAGGAGGGCATCATCCAGCCTCTTAGCACTGTGGACAGCTGGAATTCAGTGTCCTAGGGGAACTCTGGGAGACATGGCAGATCATGCACCTCGGAGCTTGCCTTCTGAAGGACTGAGGGAACTGGGTATTTCTACACCGAGTATCAGGGATCACTGACTAAAGACAGTCTCTCATAGGGGGAGGGAGGTGACATTATCTACCTGCCATTTGCATGTGCCAGGAGCCTCTGGCTATCTAAGAAAGCCCTCATCAGAGAGACGCACAGGGGGATGGAAAGGGTGTTAAAGTGCTAGGAGTGGTAACCATGTGCGCTGTAGCTGCCCATCTGGGATGAAGAATACAGTGAGAAGTTAGCTGCCGGTGTCTGGCAGGGTGTGGAGAGAGGCAGGCATTTGGGAAGTCAGTCACCTAGCATTAGATGCCAAGAAAGTTCAAATTTAGAGTTTTGTTGTCACCCTCATATGGATTTATACAAAATCTGAGAGATGATAGGCTTAGAAGAGAACAAACTCATTGTGCAAATTCAAGCACTTCATAATTTTGTCACTTCTTTATTTTTAAACCTAGCCAGTACCATAAAGGAAAGCAGGGCTCCAGATATTGCTTTACCTTGGAGAAGTTCTCAGTGGTGGTGGGTGATTGCAAAATATGGGTTGCCGGTGGAGGTGTGCCAACAGTTTTAATTAGGGCATCTTCCGTGGCTGGAGGTGGCAAAGATTTAGAGTCTCCAGGCCAGAGGAAGGGGAGAGATCCCCCAGGGACCCACAAACTCTTAGAGATAGATGATCTTCAACTCACTCAGACAATCACCAGCCAATGTGTCCCAAAACCTCAGCTTTTCAAGATTCAAATGTGAAATGTCAAATAGTTCAGTGCCTAGAACATAGCACTCACTTGGTAATTGGTGACACGTTGTTATAGTCTGAATTCGAAAGACACTACATATAGTAATCTATGGTTCTGTTTCAGGAAAAATGTGCCCCAATGATAAGGGAAAACGTCATTGTTTATAAAAGCCTACAACCAACATGATTGGCTAGTCTTGTTCTCAGACAAGTAATGAAGAATTAAAATCATCGTACCCTTTCTTCAAGCCTTAGCATCTAACAGGAAAGTCTAGTGAGACAGCAGAAGATGGCAGGCCAGTGTCAGTGTCAATAGTGCAGAATGTTCAGGATGCCATGGGGTGACAGGGCTAGCAATGGAGGGACACCCAGCAGCTTTGAGAGGAGACAGTACAGCTGCCTCTTCAAGATGCGTCAAGGTGTTTTAGCTTCCATACACCAAGTGCAAATTCTTCCCTAATGGAATGGACACAAACTACATATCCAGTGTTTTCATGATGAAAGACTCAAAGAAAAACTTGATACATCTTCAGTTTTCCTAGCATCAGTGTCAGAGCCAATCCTGGCCAACTCACCCTTCTCCTGGCCCGGGGAGCTGGTTCCGGAGTGTTGGGAGAAGTGGACTCATTTGGCGTTTCTGAGGTGGAGCTGAGAGATGAGTTACTGCTTGAGAGTTCTTTGTTCTGTCTTTTATTTCCAAACGGCAGGAGAGAAGCCACGAAATCAGATGTATCCTTCTGCTCATCCCTCTGCGAGTCCTGCTTGAGTTTATAGGCTCTGTCATTGGCAATGACTTGGGACAAGGGCATTCCAAATGCCTGTGGGATGAATTCTGGAATCAAAAAACAGGCATTCCTGTTCAGAGACTGCCCAGACCATTGAAGACCCTATACGCATGTCTCAGATCTAAAGGCAGACATATTCAAATGATTGTTTTCTGAGGAACTGATTTATCTATCAATCAACATACGAAAATGACCTGTTTTATCAGAATGGCTACAATTCCATTTCAATGAAGAAAGCCAGTAGGTATAAACACACATTTTAGAAATCTCAATCTGTAGGTACTTTTCCCATGTGCCTCAAATTTGTCTTAAAGAAAATAACATTGCAGAGAAGTGTGACATTTTTGATAGATTATAAATAGTACTTTGTGCTCATCAGTACAGTTTTACAAACTGTTAGTCTTCTATTTATATGTTTCTGAAGCCCCTAAAGGCTGCGAGGGATGAGGAGATTGTATTTATCCATTTATTGAACAAGCATTTGTTGTGCAGCTACTATGGGTCATGTCAAATTATGTAACGTGGGGGAGGTACAACATTTCTAAGAGGCCCAGTCCTTGCTCATGAGGGGTTCAGTGTATAGGGTGGGGTGGAGAAGTGCAGGGTCAGACCCGTAAATAATTGTAATAGTGTGACTACCACGTGTTATAATGGAGAGACAAATGAAACAAACACTAAAATTCAGCGAAGGAGATACATTTTGGGGTTTCCGGTAGAAGAGGCAGCACACAGAATGAAAGCCAAGAGGCAAGGGAGCAACTTGGGGACAGCTTGGGAAGAAGTGTCCTGTTTTCCCGTTTTTCTCCTCGTCCCCACACCCTGTCTCCAGCCAGCTGGGTTGATGCAGTCATGCTCATGATCTGTACTCAATCCGCTTTCCGGGCTACATGCAGAAGTGGATGTCATCACAGAACCTCTGGTGAGAGGCCTAGGATGGAATTTGGAAAATCTTCTAGAGGGGGCCATTTTGGGAAGGAACGTAATGCAGAAATCTATGGTTTTATTTGGATATATATTTAAGAGTTGCATTCTGGATCTCTGTAATAAATCCATTTATACACACACGTTAGATCCTTAGGGCCAGGAATTTTATTGACAATATTTTAGATCCGTGCCAAAAACACATTAATAATTCAGTCATGTGCAGTACTCCCCTTAGACAAAATTACATCTCCTAGCAGCAGCAAATTGGTGTCTTGTCTCTTTTGTTTTTTTTTATAAGCCCTATGAATGGAACCAAAATGATCAAGGGAAAACAATTCTAAGGTTGTTTATTCTTTGAACAAAAAGCAAACATTAAATGAGGTGGATAAAGGCTTTAAAAGGTTTTTCTCCTTGATTCATGGCAACATTTTTAAGTAGGCTAACGGCCAAGTCTACATTAGGAGCAGAAATGCTGCTTGAAAGGCCGGAACCTCTAGTTCTATCAAAACATGGAATTTGTTTTGAAGGGAAACTACCCTAACTTCATTTGGGAACTTTCAGGGGTTCTTGCCATTCTCTATCAACATTCTAGAGGACATATGATAATAAAATTTGGCTATTTCTCCTCTGAGTGATCAATGTGGACAATGCAGGCAGATCCAATATTCACTCCTGACAAAAGGCTGTTTTTGCTACTCGCCAAATTAGGAAGCAAAGGGGATAGTACCAGACCCCCGACTGCGAGAGCTGAAAACTTGTTATATACACTAGCGCTATGGTGGCTGAGGAAATAATCAAATATTCTTCCTTCAAAAATGTTGAGGGTGTCTTAGAACTTGTGTATGGCAAGGCTCACAGCCGCATGAGACATACAGAAAGAAACAGGAGACAATAACCGCCAAAAACATTGAAAAGGATGGGGTGACTTGGCTGCTCGTGTAGGCATATGCAGGGCAAGGATTTACTCTACGATGGGAACTATCAGGCTGGTGTATATTTCAGTGATAGAACACATGCCTAGCATGGGCAAAGCCCTGGATTTGATCTGCAGCACACATGCACGTGCGCGCGCACACACACACACACACACACACACACGAAGTTAGGGACTATTGAATCCTCTTCTAGCCACTTTTTTCCATACAAGGAAACCAATCAGATTTATTTAAAGGTTTCTAATATCACTGGAAAAAGGAAGAAACATTGTTTTCTTTGGAGTCTGTCATTTTTAATATCTGAAAATCTGTCACTCTACTTGTAAATTAGAATAGATGAATACAAATGAAACAGATGCATTACACAAAGTCATTTCCCCCTAATTTTTATTCTTCTCTTGTTCTCATTCAAGAGATGTAGCCACCCATAGCAGAGTTCCATTTCTCTCTACTAGGATTTCTTTTCTGGCTGTGTTTACCCTTTCAATGGGAGAGTTTGAATACAGTCTCTTTAGTTCCTTCTTACTTTCCCTCAGGATTCTCACAAAGTTTGCAAAGGAGACCTCTCTCTGCTCCAAGTTATGCAGTATCTATTTAGTCTTTATAAAACTCTAGGAAGAATTCCTGAATATTATTGTTTCTTAAAAATATAGTGATTATGAAATCAAGAATTCACCACAAATCTATTGAGCAAAACTCTCATTGATGTTTTAAAAAAAGCAGCGAGCACACATGCCTGCCTAAGTTGAAAGCTCTTTCATAAGGGGAAAAAAGGAACCTTGAGACCCTGCGCTGACAGAAGCTAATAAAGTTGATAACTGGCTTTTTAAAATTAACTTTTAGGATGTGTTTGTGATACATAATAATCACATTCATTTGGAGGAATTGTACATACACACATCATATGTTGGTCATTTTTACTCCCCTTCACTCGCTTCCCTTCCTCAGATCCTCTCCCCATCTCTAAACTGTCTACCTCCCTCTTTCTTGCCATCTCTCCTTTATTTTGCTTTTATATTATTTGTATTTTGGATTTTTCATATATGAGAAACCATGCAATATTTAACTTTCTCTGTGTGATTTATTTTAGTTAGCATTATGTTTTCAGAATCCCTCCATTTTCCTAGCAGGCCTTTTAAATTACAAGGAAATTACCCAAGACCCATGTGCTGAGGCTAGGGATGACAAGTGTCATGCTGTCACCCAAGGCAGGTGTTCTCCAGGGACCCTGTTTCCCTGCTGCTCCCATTAGGAGTGACTGTCTCTGCTCTCTTTGCTCCTGATTGCTTCTTCCAAACCTTCACCCTCCCACCCCTGGTAGAGACCCACCATCACAGGGTTCCGCACGTTCCCTGATCCTTGTAATCTTCTATTGTCACTTACTTTGACTCATCATTAGAGACTTAGAAGCTCACCCACATAACCGATCTGTCTCTGTCTTCAAATTTTCTTGGTCTCCTCCTCTCTTCTTATCTTTTCATGCAGGCTACCTTTATATCATCCACTCCCTTGGTCCTATCCTGGGCCTTATCTTCACCAGAATGTAACACCGTGTTGGTACCTCAAACTTGCACCTTCCCTCTAAGCACCAATCACTTTTTCTTCCTTGACACCAGGACATCCCTAAGGCATCTCTTATTCCCTGTCTTCCCCTCCCAGGTCTGGCTCAGATTTGTAATGGTCTCTGTTCTTCACGGGAGAGACTAAGAATTCTGAGTAATACTTCTCTCCTTCTCACATCCCATTTCCACTCCATCGTCTTGTCATGTCATCCTCATGTGACCTCTCATTTCTGTCTATGTCTTTCCACTTCCACCATCACTCTAATTCCAGTTCAATGTACCATAATCTCACTCCTGGGCCTCCACACAGCCTTCTGCCTAGCCTTCCTCCTTTTACTCTGGGGTCACACTCTTTCCCAAATTCACATTTTACACTGGCCTTCTGCTTTAAAACATCACTTCTTCCTTAGTACATTTTGATGGTATCTCAATGCTCTTAGTATACGGACTAAAAGGTGTGCTGTGGCCCATACAGCTCTGTGTGAGCTGGCTCCTTCCCAGCCTTCCCTGGAATCACATTTCCTCTGGTTCTCTCTTCTCTAGTAATAGCACTCAGTGACTGTGTTCAATCTATTTTCTATGAGAGTTTATATATGGTGATAATTGATTCTTCTATTCCTTTTTTTGTTTTGTTTTGTTTTTCTTCTGGTACCAGGAATCGAACTCATGACCTTGTGCTTGCCAGGCAGGCACTTTGCCACTGAGCTAAATCCCCAGCCCCTGATTCTTCTACTTCTGTTTAACATAAACCAGAAGTTTTGTATCAACTACTCTTACTTAGTGTTCCTTCAAAGCTCCTTATAATGACGTATTAGACCTCGAGTACCTATAAAGCACGGCATAAATGGATTTCAGCATAAAGGTACCAGAAGTGAACTCCTCTCAGATTCTATGTTGATAAATATATGGTAATAATCTGACAATGTCCGAGCTCCCAGAACCATGCCGAAAAGAACCTCATCACCGTGTTCTTTGACTAGGAAGCATTGTAACTGAAGCAAGGCAGCTTGTGTTAAATCTTCTCTCAATAAACTGGTTTCTTTTTCACACAAGAAAGAAACTTTCTGAAGTTTTAAAAGTTTTAAAAATATTTTTCATTACACTATGAGAAATCAAGGAGTTGGAACGATTTAATTTGAAAACATATTTTCTGAACTAGCATCAATTTTGGTTTAGTTTCTACAAGGAAATCGAAAGTTATATGGGGACTGCTTAAATTGCAGGAGGGATGCAGGAGTGTCACGTGATCTGTTGTTTATTTAATCAAGACTATTAAATATCACACAGGACATGATTCATTTTGATGGAATCAGTAGAGTGGCATATCAAACTTTGGTGAATCACTCTTTATTGGGAGAGCAACTTGACTCTAAAGAGCTACGCCTCTTTATTTTTAGATGGCCTCATCCAAAAGGTCATTTTGAGTTTCCTGTTTTCCTTCTTTTACTCTTGGATTCAAATGATGATCATTTTTCACATGTGCAGCTGTTACGAACCCAAATGCTAATATGCAAAGGGAAGGAAATAATGTGAACCAATTACAGCTGTGCCAGACCCGCACCCCGCCACCTCACGCTTTGGTTCCCAAGCATTCATGTGATGGCTCCCATAGTTGACATAAACTGGGCTTTATGTTTAGAAAAGTTGTCATGTAATTACTCTTCACTCTAGCCTACGATACCTTATTTTTAAACATCAAAGCTAATATATATATATAAAGCTAATATATAACTTCTTTTGCCATGAAGCCTGACACTTCTCCCCTTAGTTGAACGGATGACGTTTTCTTCTGAAACCACAGCAGTATGCCTTCCTTTCCCCAGTCAGCTCTCTGTGTAGCAGAGCTCTCACTGGGCCTGCATAAATATGATTTGGTCTGAAATACGTGTAGTGGCCCAGTGTGTATTGGTCAATTACTTCCCTGGCCCTCCCTTCCAGGCCATTCATGTTCATGCCTCCTGCTGTTTCTATGCATTAGCTAACACACACATGCACACACACACATCATCATCATCATCATCATCATCATCTCTGTTAAGGGAATGCAAACATCTCTCTCTTGCTGCAAAAATGCTTATTCTGTTTAGGCCAGCTCAAGTTGGCACTTTCTGAAGAACCACCTAACATGATCACTGTAAGTATCTATAGGCCAAAATCAGCACAATTATTCTAGAGTCAACTAACTTTAAAAGATAATACATTATAAGTACAGTAGAATCTCTTTACTCGTAGCTTCACTTTTCCCTGTTTCAGTTAGCCATAGTCAACTGTGCTCCAATAATATTAAATGGAAAACTTCAAAAATAAACAATTCATAAGTTTTAAGTAACTGCAAAGACAAACAAATAAATTTATTCATTTATTTATTTATGTTTTGCAATAGTGGAGATTGAGCCAAGGGCCTTCACATGGAGCTACATCCCCAGTCCTTTTCTTCACTTTTAATTTTGAGACAGGGTCTCGCTAAGTCATTAAGTTGCCCAATATGGGTTCGAACTCATGATTCTCCTCTCTTGGCTCCACAGAGTTGCTGGGATTGGGCTGGGGATTTAGCTCAGTGGCACAGCGCCTGCCTGGCAAGTGCAAAGTCGTGAGTTCGATTCCCGGTACCAGAAAAAAAGCCAAAAAACAAAACAAAACAGAGTTGCTGGGATTACAGGTGTGCCCCACCATGTCCAGATAAATTACATCATAAGATATCGTTAGAATCATTTGATTTTAATATTAGTCATTGTTATTAATTCCTTCTGTGTGTATTTATGAATTAGACTTTATCATAGATATGTATGTACAGACAGGAAAAAACATTATATATGAGGTTTAGAACTATCCATGGCTTTGAACTTCCGTGCATCATTGTGAGAATGTACCTGCAGGGAATAAGGCAAAATAACTGTACCAACCTGAGTGCTTCCTTAAGTACAGTATTTGTACAGAAAATTGCTCTAATCTAGATAAGTAAGTGTACTGTACTTCAGAAACAGAATGAGCAAAAGCTCTAGAGGAGTGATGCTGGATACTAATATTCAAGACATTGAAAATAAGCGTAGTAACTATCCACCAATCAAATATAACACAATAGTTTTGGACAATGATATCTAGCTGGACATCCTCCACCTGCATTAATTCAGAAGTAGAGTCTACCGGGATAGGGCATGGTCTGCTGAGTATTCTGCTTAACATGGGCCAGGGTTCTCATTTTAGAAGTTACATGAGAGCAATGGACTCATACCCCTTTTAGACCAAAGGACTCATACTCCCTGAGATTGAGGACTGGGTATATATATATTTTTGGTGATTGCTATTTTGTTTTTTGCAGTGCTAGAGAGGGAATCTAGGGACTTGTGCATGCTGGGAAAGCACTGGATCTCTAAAGTGTACCTCTAAGCCCTTGGGCTTAGAATTTTTAAAGGTTCCACAAGTGATTCTGCTGTACAGTCCAGGGTAGGCATCACTGATGCCTTCACTTCCTTATAACAATTTGAGATAAATGTTTGAAATGGCTGGAAGCATTTAGCTTGAGGAAGTCCTGCTGCCATCTACTGAGTCGAAGTCACGAATTCACAATAAATAGGATAACCCCTATCACAAAGATTTCTCCTGTCTAAAATGTCAATAATAGCAAGGGTGAGAAATACCCCCCTAAGGAAACAAAACAGTGGTGTTCCACTCTTCAGAATTCTTCATCACCAAACATCAGGAACCAGTGTCATGACTCTTAAGGTACAGTTCAAGACATAGGTATAGTGACTGGTATCAGTTGTGTGGGATAGCTCTTGTCCAGTACTGATCATAATGCATTTATTTTTAAAATGCTTTGTTTCTCTGTTTCCGTCACTTTCCAAGCAGAAACTCAATCATTATAGAAAAGAGCTCAAAGATGTTTATCCTCATTCCACACTCATTCACTGTGTCACATAAAATGAAACTATATTCCTACGATCACACCATTCAACAAGCATCTCATACGAGACCATAAGCATAGGCCACAAAAATGGACTGTGCTAATAGAGGCCAGGTGCCCATTATGCAGGCTCAGAGATTATTAGTTAAAAATGACCACAAACATCTCTGAAAGGGTGGCTAAAGTGTCAGTTCTCTAAATAGGCATAGAAGGGGACACAAAATGTATGAGAGTCAGCAAGTCCGAAAACATATGGGGTGAAAAATGAGCAGGCTGTGATCTAACATGAAAATGCTGCGAATGGCACGACACATCTTCAGTTACTCATGAGGCTGAGACTGTTTCTTCTTAGTAGTTACGGTGGGCAAATACAAAATCTTTCTCATTCAACTAGCCCTGCCTGTCTGAATTTGCCAGACAGCTGGTTAGCGTTAGTGACGCTGTCCATGGCTACTCGACCCAGGTCCTTTTTTATGCATAGCTGATTGGCCAAAATAATTGGAACCATAAATTTGGCCCAAGTCATACTCTGCTGAAACCAGCTAAATTCATCAGCTCAGCACAGGGATATTCAAACACAGAAGAGTACAGCAAAACAGCTCTTAATGGCATTCCATCATAGAAATCCAGTTTGCATAATAGAACTGAACCCCATAAGTCTATGTGATTCAAAAACCCCACCAAATTCAACCATTATGCTCCATGGAAGATACTTTTGCCTTACTTATTTCGTCCTTTACCTCTGTCTTTGTTTTTCTCTTTTCCTAGGGAATCCAGTTTCTTTCTCAAAGACTTCTTTCTCTTTTGTCCATCTGCAAATGTAAAAGGAACAAGAAATTGTAATAATAAGCATACAAGGGATATGTTAAATTATAAATATACTTGAGTAAAAGTATGACTTCTCTCTTACTTTCCTCATAGTTTGTCATTTCATATAGAAGAACTGCTCTGATAGTACATGAAAATCTCTGACAGTGTTAGCATATATAACCAGAATCTTAATATAGTCTGTTCAATTTTCTTACAGTCATGGGAAGTGCAAGAAACTTTCTCTTCTTCAGTTATAACTTACCATTGACATGTAGATATATTTGCATTTACTATTATATAATTCTCTTCCTATTCTCCATGGTTGTACAAATTGAACCAAATCTCCATGAGAGAATCAACAGTCTACACAGCTTTGATATTTATGAGCTAGCACAGTGTAATTGGGTAAGGAAATATATTTAGTGGTCTGCAGAACTTGTCTATTTTTCTACCATTTACTGACTGTGTCACTTTGGACAAGTCTCAGAATCCTTATCAGTAAAACAAGAATGCCATGTAGTTTAGAGAGTTCAATGAAACAATGCATATGACTTGCTTGATGTCCAGTCTGACATGTGTTCATAATTTTCCATCTATTTTGTGGTGGTTGCATAGTATTCCTTGGTTTGGTGGCACAATAGTTTGTTTAATCATTCTTCCATTGATGGATGTTGGCGTTTCCTCTAATTTTTCACTAGGATAAGTAGAGAATATTTCTTTTTAGCATCTAGCATTTGCAACAAATGTACTTAATATGTCCGTTTAACTCACCAAATAATAAAGATACCACTCATATCAGTGGGCAGCTGCAATTGAATTCCTGGGATGTCATCACAAAATATTGGCATTCATCATTGCCAGAATGTGTTTGGGGATTATGCAGCTGTTAGTTTAACATGTGGGAGGTGTGAATTGGGAATCCACACTGTGATCAAATAGCAGAGGTGCAGTCCATCCCCCAAGGAAATTTCGTTTTAAAAGGAGTATTAGGAATTCTTCTACAGGACGTGCTAAAAATGTAGGAAAGAGACTCAGCTGAATAAAATTTAAAAACAAGACTCTGATATCAGGAAAAGACAGAGTAAGCATTCTGAAACAGACATGAGCGTTCCTGATATCCTCACGGGGCTGCAGATGTTCCTGGCTCCTCCTCCGTGAATTTTTGGAGGGAAAAGAACATCACAACACAGGCAACAGTCACATGCAACCCCTCCTCTCTTTCAAAGATTTCAAAAATCACCCTTCCCCCGCAAAATGCACACAGCTATGGAGTCATGAGATTTGAGTAGAAAAAATTATGGAAATCACTTGTAATGTGACAAAGAGCCATAAATCTCTTTGATCACTTACATGGTAAGATCTTCAACATCTAAAAGTTGATCTAAACATGATGACCTATTGCAACGTTTTATATATATATGGACAATTAAACAGAATACAGATCCAGAATACATAAAGGACAGGGGAAATTGTCTTTTAAAGTAGAATAATTTTTTAAAAAAACTTCTAAAATTATGGAATGTATTACAGATATATATATATATACACACATACATATACACAAATGTACAATTTAAACAATGATTAGAAGGCATCCCTGGCGCATCTAACAACCATATTTAGAAGTAGACTATTGCTAACTCTCAGAGGACTACCAGCATGACTCCCTCCTCCTCACCCCACATAATTTACTGTATGTAATCAATTGTTAACTTTTCTTTGTATTTTTACTATGTATATGTATATTTTCAAAGTATGCGTTTTTCTCTTGTCTTGTGATACATATAGGCAGACTTATATTGGAGGTATTCTTTCTTGCCTTATTTATTTCATTCACCAACGTTGTGAAACTCATGCTGTAAATTCTGTAGGTAGCTGCACATCACTCACTTTGATCACTATCTAGTGTCTTCTTCTCATATGAATATGCCATAGTTCATTCTCCCACTGGGTGGTGGATGGATTCTTGTGCTGTATATGGTTTGGAGCTATTAGGAGTAATGTCTTATTTTTAAATCTGTTTATACCTCCTTCTGTGCATATACCAGAGTCAAAGATGATACTTTAGAAAGTGTGGTTCCAGAACCACCAGCACCAATATCACCTGGGAACATGTTAGAGATGCAAGTTCTCTACAGGTCCACCCAGACCTACTGAATCTGGGGTGGCGCCAGCAATGTGTGCTTGCACACACTCTGAGAGAATTCTGGTGCACGCTAAGGTCTGAGAGCCACTGCTCCAGCTTATGTACATAGAAGTTACATTGCTGAATCAGTGTGTATGTAGTCTTAGGATTTACCAGGTAACACTTCTGTTCCCACCAGTATGAAAGTTTACTTCATCCCATGAGGATAGTATGTGACTTAAACTTCCAAACTCCAAACAATATCTTGAATCCTCCTTACAACCAAAACACGATTTTTGTAAATAATGACCTATAATTAAAATGTACCTATTTACACTACATATTGTCTTTTTCACTTCATTAGACAGAGATGAATATTATAAATAGGCAACTATACAAAATGATGGATGATATCGATAATGTGAAATGATGCAGTGCTTTGGCATCTGTTTCCTCTTTTATATTCTCAAACAAATAGCCAGAGCCACACCACGAACTTCTTACTCCTTCTCCTTGCCCTTGTAATCAATCAGCAGTTTGCCCGAAGGCCTCCCATTTGTGAAGAATGACTCATCTTTTGTTCCCAGAGAGCATGAAAAATCTGATCTAGAGGCTACCGTATTAGAGCTGGTTCCATACAGTCACGTCCAACCATTCCTTGGATGGCAATAAGCGAGACAAGTGCCATTCTGCATTTGTCTTAGTGCATTTTCTGCTACTATAACAGAATACACAGAGTGAGTAATTTATATAACAAAGTTCATATAGCTCACTGTTCTGGAACTGGGAAATCTGAAGAAGGTCTCCATTCTGTGTCATAACATGGCGAAGGCATCATATGGGGGAGAGAGGGAAAGAGACAGAACTTGCGGCCTCAAGCCCTTTTATAATTAGTATTAATCCATTCATAACTGAAAAGCTCTCATGACTTAAACTCCTCCCATTAAGTCCCACTTCCCAACATAGTTGGGGATTAAGTTTCCAATACATGCTTTTTTTGTCCTCTTTATTGGAGACACATACAAACCATAGCATTCTTTTGAAGAAATTCAAGCCCCCCAATTAACAATGACCATAGAAATGTTTTTATGGTGCAAATGGTGGTGAGCACGTGCATGCTGACTGTTTGCCGCTTGCCCATAGTCTCACAGACAATAGCGACTTGTGGGAGGCCCTTGGGCAACACATCCTGATCAGAGGCATCTTGAAGCATGTACTTAGGGGTTGGCTTCCATGTGCCCTCCTTTTGCCAGGCACTGTGAAAGTCTTCATCACTACGCCCAGAAGAGACCACATCCTATACGTGGGGACCTCACAGAAATAAACAGGGGAAAAACAGATGGTAAGGTAGCAAGCCTGCCATGTCTTAGTGACCCCAAAGCAATGGGCCTGTCCTTCAAGTTAGGTGCGGCTGATATGGGGATCCTTTTGCCGGTCAACAGTCAGCAGGGTCTTCAGAAAAACTGAGAGTCTAGGACACACTTTTAAGGAACTCATTTGCTCTTGGTCATATTCTGTTTTAAGTTGTGTTTGTTCTGTAGCTAGAAGAGAAGCTCTCAGAAAGCAGAACGGTAGCTCCTGGGCTTTTGCTACCCTCCAAGTAAATGGCACAGGGCAACCTGTTGGCATTGACCAAAGGTGGGAACTAAGAGGTTTGGGGCTGAGTCAGACGGATTCCAGGAGCCATGAACTACATGAACTACACATCTCCTAAATTTAAGGCGATCAGATTCATAGACTATAGCTCACGAAACATTATTTTCCATAATGAATTAATTTTAGATCTAATAGTAAAACATTTTTGGAGTAAAGATTCACTTGGTGACAGATGAAGAGTAAGGATTACCTTTGGGAAATGTGTACTACTTGAGAGGTGGCATAAGGGACCCTTTAAGGGACCAAGAAGGTTCTATGTCTTGGTCTAGCTGGTAGTTCCATGATATGTAAATGTTTAAATTTCACAGAGCTAGACTTATACACATTCATATTTATGCACAATGGTATATATGTATTATCTCCCAGCACCAATAATAACAACAAAAGATTTCATCATTTTTATACAATGGCACCAACACAAAAATTACACTAAACTGAATTGGGCTGAAAACTCAGTAAGAAAGTTCTACAGAAAAGAATTCTTGCATGGCTCACTTTTTAAAATATTTGAATATCTGTGATCTCATCTGAACACCTCTGCTTCACTGTGAGGCAGGCATATAGTACTGAGGGTTAGTTAGTGTTTATGGGGCACGCACTATAAAATAAGGACATCTCATGCAAAACTTCATTATATTCCCCGAAGCAGCCTGATAAAGCCTATACTATTACTCCTCTGAATGCATGGAAGAGGAAACCAGGCTTAGAAAAGTGCAAATAACTTATCCGTGGACAAGCATTGAGATATGGTAAATCCAGAACTTGCATCCAGAACTATCTAATCTTAAAAGATGGAGATTTAATCTCTACCTTGGCTGTGTGAGGGAAACATAGCACATATTTGAAGTGTGCCAGTATGGTCAGATATAGGGACAGACACGTCCAAAGGAACACAGAGTTAGGGAGGGAGGGGAAAGAGAAACTAAAAAAAAAATCAATCTCTAAATTTGCACCAGGTCTAGCATGTCATTCTAATATGATGATTTTTTTAAGGTAGTGACATTTATTGTAGAAAATGGCGATCATAGTTATAAGTATTATGTGTTAGTTACTTTCATAATGTTAGGACAAAATACCCAACACCCAAAACTTAGAAGTTTATTTTGGCCCACAGTTTCAGAAGATTGAGTGACAATAAATTTTATATTTATATGATATTACCTAATATACATCAACATACAATCCAGCGAGTCAGCTCTCTTATCTACACATTTGACAGAT